TCTTGGAATTAGGGTGGTCATAAAACTAAAAGGCAAGTTTTCAGAAATAATGAAAACCTGAGTCAACAGATGCTTGCTCCATACAAAGTGGAGACTCTACCACACCTCCAGAGGCACTGCAGTGCTGACTTTGTAACACCCAAAACTGAGAGGTTGAAAACTTGCTTCCAAGTCCATGGACCAGCGGGGGTTTGGCAGACTAAGCCAGGCTCAGGCTCATGGTTGTTTGCTAGTTTTGTGTACACGTGTGTGTGGTGTGTTTGTGTGCACATGCGTGTGTAGATGTAGAGGCAAGGGATACACATCATCCTAATCCTCAATTGTTCTTCACCTTTTACTTTTTTAAAAAAATATTTATTTATTATGTATACAATATTCTGTCTGTGTATATGCCTGCAGGCCAGAAGAGGGCACCAGACTTCGTTACAGATGGTTGTGAGCCACCATGTGGTTGCTGGGAATTGAACTCAGGACCTTTGGAAGAGCAGGCAATGCTCTTAACCTCTGAGCCATCTCTCCAGCCCTGTTCTTCACCTTTTAAAAAAACTTTTATTTATGCTGGGCGGTGGTGGCGCACACCTTTAATCCTGGCACGTGGAAGGCAGAGGCAGGTGGATCTCTGTGAGTGCAATCACACTCGAGGCCAGCCTGGTCTAAAGAGCTAGTTCTAGCACAGGCTCCAAAGCTACAGAGAAGTCCTGTCTTGAAAAACAACAAACAAACAAAAACCAAAACCCCTTTTATTTATTTAGCTGTTTGTATGTGTATGCACGAAGGCCAATGTGTGTGTGTGGGCCTGTGTATGCATGCCATGATGTTTGTGTGTCAGTCAGGGGACAACTTGTGGAATTACCTTCTCTTCTTCTACCAAATGTGTCCCAGGGATCAAACTTAAGTTTTCTGGCTTGGGAGGAGGTGCCTCTATCGAGTGAGCCAAATCACTGCCTCTTTCACCTTGGTTCTGAAACTGGCTTTCTCATTGAACCTGAGGTTCACCAATTCAGCTAGTGTGCCTGACCAGTGAGCCTGTTTCAGCTCCTACCCCGAACCCCAACCAGCAATGGGGTTGCAGTCAAGTGACTCTATATTGATTTTTATGTTTGCTGCAGCATGGAGCTGCCCCTCCAATCCCTATTTGTTACTTTTTGATGTGGCAAACAGGACAACAGGATACAACCTACACTCATTCAGTTTATTGAAATCACCTTGTCATAAATATCTGTTAAGCAGATGGCCGCGTCAGCCATCCTATGAGACAGACTGGAGATAGAAGCAGGTGGTTTGGTTCCTCAACATTAGTGATTTTATAACAGAAGATAGCAGTAAACCTTCTAGTTTCCAGAGTTCTTTTGGGAGGAGTTCATTTGTGGGACTCATTCAATAAAGCTTTCGGATACCACCATACCTGCCAAGGTCAATTAGCACTGAAGGGTGAGAATGAAAAATGTAAGGAAATTGAAAGGGGGTGACCGTCAGAGAGTTGGGGTCTCAGTGAGAGTCACTGGATTTGCCTCCATTGTCCTGTGTGGGTGCAACAAGAGACAGGAAGAGAGCGCCGTGCTAAACCAAAGGCAGTAGAGCTTTTGTCTCATTTGGGGCTAGAACAGACTCAGAAAGTCGTTGAACAAACTCAGTGACTTGGGCCTCACATCACGTACACAGGCGAGCTTGCTCTCCCTGCTTCAGAGTCCCCGGCGGTGCCGTGGGCTGGCTCGGTAATGGGAGGTTTATGTTATTTGTGTGATGTGTGATAAGATGCCAGTGGGGGAAGCTGCTATTAACACTGATTAACTCCAGAGCTGACCACCAGCACACACAACCATTGTTCCCACCAGAACCCTTTACCAACGGGCTTTGTCTAGCTGGCTTTAGCAGAGACGAACGCCATTATGGGAGACCAAATAACTTCATTTGGGTAGACGGCAGATAATAGAGACTCTGCAGGTATTAGCCTGACTGCATTAGTTTGATTTGCTGCCACTGTTCACCTTGTCCTGGGCATTAATGGAGACAAAGGCCTGGAATTAGCAGCAGCAGAGACAAGCTGTGGATTAAGGATTTCCCTGAGCTCAAGGGGAAGAATTCTACCCTAGCTTTGCATTTTGCTTGTTTTCTCCCTCCCTGAAAGCTAACTTCCAGTTTCCCCTTGAATGTCATTATGTTCTTTACAAATTTTGGTAACTTTAATTCCATTAAATTACATTACCTGAGTCATTATTTCCTCGAATAAGATGAGTCATTACCTTTCAGGTTTTTGAAAATGATTTTAAGGGCAGTACAGTGCTGATCTCGTGTGCTAGCCTTCTTCTTGAATATTTTTATATAATACAATTTTGTCTCATAAGAATCATAATACAAGTGGTATTGCAATTAATGTTTAAAAAGAAATGGCTATACATCACATTTACAGTTATTTTCAACAATACAAACTATCTCAATTTTTTTCTGACATCTAAATATTATTTATTTCAATTACAATTGTAATCCTTTTTTCTGTGGTGTTGGAGTTTGGGGTTTTATGCAGGCTAGGTGCGTGCTCTCCTTCTGAGCCCAACGCTAATTACATCCTTTGTAATTAATGTGCTGCCACATTGTTATTTCAGTTATAAAAACATAACACCGTGGGTCACACAGAACTTATTTTAGTTGTAAGCCAGGCTGAGGTTTGGGACCCAGGAGTCAACGCTACAAGGTTGTGCTGGGAAATGCAGCGGTGAAGACCTGCTGCCGAGTCACAAGTCACGGTGCCCTTCCTCATCGGACTTCCAGCTGCACCCGCTTTCACAAGTCCCCTCTGAAGATTGCTGAGCAGTGTCTGCGGAGCTGTTTCATCTTCTTTTTGGTTGTGGAATCTTTTCCAGACTCCTCACCCTCTCTTTATGAGTTTGGTTTCATTACAGACAAACTGTGGTTTTGGTTTGAAATCAAAATTTGCTAAACACACCAATTCAAAAATCCTCAAATATTAGTAAGTAGAGTAGTTCCTCTGTTCAAGACTTGAAATCTTATAAACTAAGCAGATACTAAGGAGAAAACAGTAATTCTGGCATGGCAAGATACTGCAAGTTACGATCATATTGAATAAACAGTAGCACAACCAACAAAAAGCCAACAATTCTTTAATGATATATAAGATTTATAAGATATTTAACGGTGGTTGTCTCTGAAGGATAAGACTTGAAGTAGCTTCCACTTTGGCAGTATTGTTTATAAAATAAAATAAAGGCTTATTTATATTACATGACACACGCCCCTCCTCCTTCTGTCCTTGTTAGCTTCCAACCATCAAATTCAATGTTTTCATTGGAGCCCAGTGGAGAAGAAAGAGAACTGCTGGTGGGGAAATGTTGACTGATGTACTTCATAAGGACTGCAGGCAGTAGTCTTTACTAATGGCAGTAGTTCCTTATGCTGGTAGGAGTGGCCCAGTTTCTCCCCAGAAGCCCTTTAACCCCAGACCCTCCTAGTGACAGCCCTGTTCACCCTTTCCTCCTCCTTCCCTGTCTTGGCATTAGTGGGGAAGAATGAGCAGTTTATTGCTGATCAATTGTTGGGAAACAGAGCTCTCTACCCCAAATGTGCTGCCAGTAAATTATTTTACAAAGTTTCGAGTCAAACTCAGAAATAACAAGTTGTCTTTCAATAAATAGGCAAATATCCCAGAAAAAAAAAAACATGTACTGGTAATGAATTTGATAGGTTCAGTAAGAACCCTTACTCTGGTGTTCACAGGGAAACAGGATGGACGGAGGGATAGGGGAAGATGAAAAAGGAAAATTCAGTTCAGGTGTAGAAAACTGAAATCTTGCTACCATTGGACAGAATTGGGGCATTCAAACCCACTTTTCAAAACTAAACAAAAACTTACCCACAGGTTTTTTCATTAACTGGGAGACAAATACCTAGGGATTTTTGTTTGTTTGTTTGTTAGTTTTTAACAGAGGAGAGGACTCCCTTATTGTCAATTCTCTCCTCGCTCTATCTTCAGGTGGCAGGTATGGTTTGTCCACAGAGAGTGCCCTGATTATTTCCAGGAGCTGTGTCAGGGCACATGCGAAAAGTCAGTCAATGCAGCGTGGTACCGAGGCGTGTAGTGACTGGAGTCATTAAACTGGACACAGAAACAAGACGATCCCTTAAAACAACCAAAGAAGGACACAGCAAACGAACCTGAAAGCTGCTTCAAATTCGCATCTAATCTGCAGACTTACTCACTTTTAAATCGTTAAAGTCACACTTATTTATTCATGGTGTGGATGCACGTGTGAGTGCACGTGTGTGGTGTGCATGTGTGTGTGTTTGTGTAGGCACATGGTGCGTGTGTGGAGATCAGAAAACCGCTTTCAAGTATTGATTTTCTCTTTCGATCCTGTGGGATCTGGGGGATTGGTGGAGCCTGGGTCTCCAGGCATGGCAGCAAGAACCTCTACCTTCTGGGCTGTCTCACCAGCCCTGCAGCTTGATTCTTTCTGGCAGTACAGTATAGTGACGGGAATAGGAGAGCTGATGGGCTTAGATCTGTACTTTGTCATGAGGACTTAAAACAAACAAAACAAACCAAACAAACAAACAAAAACCTTGAAATTGGTGTGCTGTAAGGATTTGTTTGAACACACGGCCAGAAATCAACAGAAGATTCACAACTCACCCTATGATATAGACATGTATAACTACGTCTCAAGATGTACCTGAAAGAAACTAATTGAAATAAATTGGACTCTTCTTTTTTTATTGCTCTATTTTAAAAATACTTTGTTAGTCGCAATCCATCTGTGGGATCACTTAGTTTATGTATGAGCTTAGTGATTTTAGTGCACATACTAATTTATTAGATTAGCTTTACTCGTTTGGAAATATTGTTGTTATTGTTGAAGTTGGGAGGAAGTGGGGAGAATGGGGCGCACATGAGAAGTGTTAGGGGAAGGAGAAGGGATGAATATGATTAAAATATGTTATATACATCTACAAAATTCTCAAGAAAAGTATATTAAATAGCTATTATTTCTAAAAAATTTATTAAAATATATAGGAAAGGTTTCTTCATTATAACTAAAAATGTCCAGTTATAATACGCACTATGCTAGAATCATACTTATTTTGCAATATTTTCAGAAAGAATGACAATTTCAGATTAGGTACAGGAAAGAAATGGTAACATTTTAAATACTTGGTATTTCCGTTGATTCCTTGTGTTCTGCAATTGGAAGAGAAGCCCACATGCGTAATTTTTGACTATTTCAGATCTGTGTTGAAGGTTTTTTTTGCCATTAGAAATTGTGATTCTCTACGGGACCTTTTCAGCTTTGCCCGGCGATTTTGGAACCAAATCTAAAATCAAGGGAAAATAAAAATAGTTCTCAGACACATTGCTGTATTACCATCACAGGGAGTAACTGTGCTTGCAAATTACCTGGATTCTGTCTTCCTCTAGATTCAGCTTCTGAGCTAAGTCCTCTCTGATGTCAATGCCAGGATAGCAGTTCACTCTGAAGACATCTTCCAATACTTCAACCTAGAATAAGAAGGGATTCTTTAAAGGGGTAACAGTCCATATGGCACCAGAACTGGGCTTTCCTCTGTACAGACAAAAACAATGCTCTTAAACTTGGGCAGTTAACTTGAATGCATCTTTTAAAATTTGAAAACCCAGAGACTGTTACGATTGTTTCACTGATGACCTCCTACACTGGGATCCCAAAGTGAAAGGCTGTTGCTCACCAGCCCAGCAGTTACAGCCATATGCTATCACTATTGGGTGAAAAATCTTCCCACCTGACTTTGGGTAAAAGCAGTTCTTGGTCTTCGTCCTCTGTACCAACTCAGCTCTCTTTTCAAAGAGAGTGTTTCTGAGGCTGAAAAATAATTTCCATATTTCGAAGCCCTCTCTTCTGGCATTGGGTGATCCACGGGACAAGGAAATGAGATCTCACTGGGAAGATCCGGGGCATGTAGGCATGGGTTGCCACATTTCTCTAAAATCAGAAGAATAGACTTCATCTTAGATTGTCTGTGTTCCATAAATCTGGGAAAAGATCATTTCAGTAACTTATTTTGAATTTTCCTAGAGAATTCTTCAGGATTTGACAAAAGAACAGCCTCTCCCATCACTCAAAAAAGGAGAGGGGGGGGAGGAAGGGAGAGAGAGAGGGAGGGAGAGAGAGAGAGAGAGAGAGAGAGAGAGAGAGAGAGAGAGAAGGAAGAAGGAAGAAAGGAAGGAAAGGAATGGAAGGAGGGAAGGAAAGAAAAGAAAAAAGAAAAGAAACTCTGTGTGGTGCAGAGAACACCTTGGACTCTACCATTTATTTTTCAGTGAGCAGAGAGTTAGATTGCCTGACGTGTCAAGCATGCACAGAGTCTCTTCTGAAGCCGATGTTAGTTAGCTCTTTCTGCGAGTGAACTAACGTCTCTTCCCATCTACGGCACGCATTCTGTTTGCTCACGATCCTGTTAGGGCGTTTTTCTATTTATGGAACAGAAGGAAAACGTAGCTTCTAACTCTATATTGTGCAAAATAAAGGGCAAACTAAAAGGCAGATGAACTTACAAATTAAATTGTGGCATACCTGAGTCGCTGCAGGTGTCTGCCCACGGCCTGTGGGGTCTTACAGACGGTACACAATCTTTTTTCTGGTCCAGTCCTAAAATGCTCTCAATTGAGAAGGAGCAGGATGAGGGCTTGGTTTCCCTGAGCTGAGCACTTTCCCGAAGGCTGGGAGACATCCTCTTTTGGGTTGTGCAGAGCTGGAGGGCTCCTGCCCCACGTGTGCCGAGCTGGGATCCTCTAGCAGTTCACCTTATAGCTTTGTTGACTAGGGGGCTGGGTTTTGAATGTCACTAATTAAAATCCTGTTTTAGAAAGTTTTAGCAATTCAATGAACAGTTGCCCAGCCAGCAGCTTAAGGAGTTAATTGTTTATTTGTTTGCAAGTAATTAGCAACTAATGGCTACACCAGGGGGCCACCTACAGGGACAAAAAGTGTTATCTCTCCTAAGCAGAATGCAGACTTAACTTTCTTGAAAGAAGTGATGCACAAACGTAGCACCTCCCCTTTTATTTAGGATCACTAATGTATAAAATCAGGTTTTTATTCTGAAGTTGATATTTTCCAGGATTCTAGTTACCAAAAATGTACAGGACAGAGAGAAGAGCAATCAAGTAAACAATAATCTGATTTAGTGACTGTTCTTCCAAAGAAACTGGAAAAAATAATAATCCCTTAATGCTATTACAGTAATTCTGATGAAAATGCTTGTTTTCCGCATGCATATGTAATAGTGAGCGTCGTCAGCGAAATCACAGTACTCTTTGGTGTGCAGCATACTGGAAAAGCCTGGCAGCATTTTTAACACAGAGTGTAATTGTCTTCCAAGTGTCTTGGATTAATTCATAAGAACAGTTGCACCACGTATTTTAAATAATTAGTGGACTAATTCCTTTCTTTCATTATTTCTTTTAAATGAGAGAGATACAAGCTTACATGAAGTTCATATGCTACAGAGAATAATTTCTTTCCTTAACACAGTTACTTCAAAGAACATAGCTAACTGTACCTTTCTTCTTTTAAGACTGGGTCTTACACAGTTATTGAGCCAACTCTATAGATCAGGCCTTAAATTTAGATATCTGCCTCCCTCTGCCTGTAGAACATCGGACTTAAAAGTGGAGGACACAATGTGTGTCACACCGCTTGACTTAGGGCTTGTATGTGCAACTTGCTTTGGCCACTGGAAGGAATGTGAGCAAAGTCTCAAAATGTGTTAGCGTGATTGCTTTGCCTCCCCAGGCTCCTGATAACACCATGACATCAGCCCTAGGGTAGCTACTGCCCTTCAGTCTTCAGCCTAAGCCCTAGAATAAACTTGAGGATCAGACTCTAACCCTTCTTACAGTTTATAGCCAAGTCCGCTGAGTCCAGAAAGCTCAGTCAATGTAACAGTCTGGGCTGTCCTGGAACTCCCTTTGTAGACCAGATCCGGGGCTGGAGAGATGATTCAGTGGTTGAGTGCACTGCTTGGATGCTCTTCTAGAGGTCCAGGGATGTTAGGGATCTGTCACCCTCACACAGACATACATGCAGGCAGAATACCAATGCACATTTATTATTATTATTATTATTATTATTATTATTATTATTATTATTATTATTTTAAACAAAGATCCACCTGTCTCTGCTTTTCAAGTGCTGGGATTAAAGGTGTGCATGACCATGCCCAGACTTGGTCTGGTATATATTTTTTTGTTAAATTGGTATATCTTTACTTGCAAGTGTTCATTGCAAGAGTCACTGGTCTGGTTTGAAGCCTCTGGTTTCTGTTACACTATCAATGCTGAACCCTCACTGGGACTCCTCTTGGATATCCTGTTGTTGCCCTGTGCAGCTTGGGTCTGCAGGACCCAACGGGCCCCTTTGTGTGCTCCAGCAGATCATTGGTAGGGTGAATGTTGGGACGCACCAACTCATAACCCTGGTTCTGGGCCTGGGGTTGCAGGGTTGGTTGGTCAGCCGGCCAGCTCTCCCTTGTTCTCACCACCGGGGTGAGCTCTCGTGCATTGCCTTGGCTAATTCACTCTAGCAGGAATGAGCAAAGAAAGGGTGGAGCCAGTTCTCCAACTTTCATGCCCTAAGCGTAGCTCTCCTAAACTTGCTCCTTCAGGGCCGGTTCTACTGTGTAGCCCAGGCGGTTGCCGGGGGCTGCTTTCTAGGGGGAGGGTCTGCTCCCTCGACCTCCACAAGCAGTAGGGACAAGGGGTTGTTGGGGTATCTTTCCCTCGCCCTCACCACCACATAGCAGCCGAGGGGTTTGTGGGGTCTGATATTTTCTAAACAGGAACAACAAACATCCAGTTTAAGCCACTGACATTTGTACATTTGTGCCCCCCACTCCCTGCACCTGCAGACAGGTTTTCTCTGTGTAGCCCTGGCTGGCCTGAAACTCACTTTGTAGATTATGCTGGCCTTGAACTAACAGAGATCTACCTTACCTGCCTCTGCCTCCCAAGGGCTGGGATTAAAGGAGTGTGTGGCCGCCACCGCCCGGAATTTTCTTTTTCTTTCTTTCTTTCTTTCTTTCTTTCTTTTTTTTAATAAATTTAACTTACTTTTATTTTATGTGCATTGGTGTTTTGCCTGCATGCATGTCTGTGTGAGGGTGTGGGATCCCCTGGAACTGAAGTGACAAACAGTTGTGAGCTGCCACGTGGGTGCTGGGAATTGAACCCTGGTCCTCTGGAAGGGCAGCCAATGCTCTTAGTCATTTTTGCAGGCATTGCTTTTGGCTTCATAAGGTCCCTTTTGTTGATTATTGGCCTTTTTTTTTTGTTGTTGTTCTTTTTATTTTTCAAGACAGGGTTTCTCTGTAGCTTTGTAGCCTGTCTTGGAACTAACTCTTGTAGACCAGGCAGTCTGGCCTCAAACTCACAGAAATTTGCCTGCCTCTGCCTCTCGAATGCTGGGATTAAACGCTTGCACCACCACCGCCTGGCTTTTTTTTTTTTAACTTCATTTATTTATATTTTATGTATGAGTGCTCTATATGCCAGAAGAGGGCACCAGATCCTATTAGAGATGGTTGTGAACCACCATGTGTTAGGAATTTTTCCTAACGTGAGCTTTCTGCCGATGCAAATTCCCAATCAAGCTAAATTAAGAAATATCCAGGTTTAATGGGATTCCTGCGCTCTCGAGTGGCTCCAAGGGGCTACCGGGAGGCTGCGAATGCGACCACCAGGAGGAAGGAAAAGGGACCACGTGTTTCTCCTTTGGAAGCTCACATAAATACTCTGTGGTAGTGGTCCTGACCTCTTGGTCAGGACCTTGCATGCTGGGATTTGGAGTCCAGACCAATACAGCTCTGGGGGCTGGTGGCTATGCTCCCAACTTAACAATGTGGTTGCTGGGAATTGAATTTAGGACCTCTGGAAGAGCAGACTGTGCTCTGAACCACCAAGCCATCTCTCCAGCTAATTATTGGTCTTAATACCTGTTCAGAGTCCTATCCTATTCCCAGAAACTGAAGTGTTATCCCTACCTCCTGCTCTACCAGATTCAGTGTATTAGGTCTTATGCTGAAGTTCTGAACTTGTCTGGAGATGTCTTTGTGAAAGGTAAGTGATAATGATTTAGTTTCATTTTTCTGCATGTTGTTATCTAGTTTGACCAACGCCATTTGTGGAAGATGTTGTCTTTTCTCCAATGTGCATTTTTTTATCTTTGTCAAAAAAAGTGGTTTAGGAGTATAGGCAGGGATGCCTTGGAAGTGGAGTTACAGGTGGTTGTGAGCCACTGTGTGGGTGTTGGGAACTGAACCTGGGCCCTTTGGAGAAGCAGCCAGTGCTCTCAACCACTGAGCCATCTCTCTAGCCCTCATGTGAATTTTGAGATAGTTTCTTTTTAATTTCTGTGAAAAACTGTGTTGGAATTTTGATGGGGATTACACTGAATCTGTAGATGGTTTTTGGTAGAATGGCCATTTTCACAATATTGATCCCACTAGTTCTTGAGTAAGGGAGGTCTTTTCAACTTTTGGTCTCGTTTTTTAAGTTCCTTCATTGTATAAGTCTTTCATGTCCTCAATGAGATCTATCCCAAGATTTATCTGAGGCTATTGTCAATGGGTTTCTATATTGTTTCCCTGGTTTCTTTTCTGATTTTTTTCCTTTCTGATTTTTGTGTATTACTATGGTATCCTGCTACTCTGCTGAGTGTTGTTTGTCAGCTGTTGGAGATTTCTTGTCTTTAGAGTCTTTTATGTATAAAGTTAAATCATCTACTCAGAAGGCTCCATTTCTTCCCTGTTTGTACCTCCTTTATCTCCTTCTTTAGTCTAATTGTTCCAGTCAAGACTTTAAGCACCCTGTTGAACAGGCTTGGAGATAATGGACATCCTTGTTTGTTCCTGATTTTAGTGAAAATGTTTTGACTGTTTCTTTATATATTATGATTTTGGCGGTGGTCTTATTGCATATTGCCTTTATTGTGTTGAGATATGTTCATTGAATCCCTAGATTCTTCAGAACTTTTATTATGAAGGATATTGGATTTTGTCAAAGGTCTTTTTACATCTAGTGAGATGATTATGTGGTTTCTGTCCTTGAATCTGTTTAGGTAGCGAATTACAAGTATTGATTTACATATGTTGAAACATGTCTGTATCTTTTGATTGAAGCTAACTTCAATGGTGGATAATCTTTTAAATGTGACTTTGAATTCATTTTGCAAGTATTTTATTAAGAATTTTTGTGTTCACGTTTATCCTGGAGATTGGACTATAAATCGTTCATTCTGCCCCTCCCTCCTTCATCCTGCCCCTTCCTCCCCTATTCTGTTCCTCCCTCCTCCATTCTGCCCCTCCCTTTTTTGTTGGGTTTTTGTCTGGTTTTGTTATTATGTATGCAGTATTCTACCTACATGTATGCTGCAGGCCAGAAGAGGGCATACAGATCTCATTACAGATGGTTGTGAGTCACAATGTGGTTGCTGGGAACTGAACTCAGGACCTCTGGAAAAGCAATCAGTGCTTTTAACCTCTGAACCATCTCCCATGGTTGAAGAAAGATGCTAAAAAGAAATCCCACACTAGCTTAGAATTGAGTATAATAAAGGGTTATTTATTTAGGGGTAGACTTACAGATCACAATCCTCTGCACAAATGGGGAACAGAAACTGAATCACACCGCTGGGAGAGAGGGTGAATGCTCACTTTGCATTGGCATATATAGTATAAGATGCCACGCCCAAGTGGACGGGTAGTTTAAAGACTGCTGGCTGAGCAGGACCGGGACTGAACAAGCATGTGATCAAACCGGACTCTCTGAATGTGGCTGACAATCGGGGCTGACTGAGAAGCCAATGATAATGGCACTGGGATTTGTCTCTACTGCATGTACTGGCTTTTTGGGATCCTAGTCTGTTTGGATGTACACCTTGCTAGGCCTGGATGGAGGGGGGAGGACCTTGGACTTCCCACAGGGCAGGATACCCTGCCCTCTCTTAGGACTGGAGGTGGGGAAGGGTGTGGGGGGGGAGTGGGAGGGAAATGGGAGGAGGGGAGAAAGTGGAAATTTTAAATGGTATTATTT